ATCAAAACCACATTGAGATACCGTCTCACCCCAGTTAGAATGGCAATCATTAACAAATCTGGAGACAACAGATGCTGGAGAGGATGTGGAGAAATAGGAATTTTGCATTGTTGGTGGGAGTATAAATTAGTTCAACCATTGTGTAAGACAGTGTGAAGATTCCTCAATGTTCTAGAAATGGAAATTCCATTTGACCCAGCAATCCCATTACTGGGTATATAACCAAAGGATTATAAATCATTCTATTATAAAGACACATGCACATGTATATTCATTGTGGCACTGTTTACAATAGCAAAGACCTGAAACAAACCCAAATGCCCATCAATGATAGAGTGGACAAGGAATATGTGGCACATATACACCATGGAATACTATGCAGCCATAAAATTGATGTGTTCGTGTCCTTTGTAGGGACTTGGATTAATCTGGAAACCATCATTCTCAGCAAACTGACACAAGAACAGAAAATAAAGAATCGCATGTTCTCACTCATAGGTGGGTGTTGAACAATGAGAACACATGGATACAGGGAGGGGAGTATCACACACTGGGGTCTGTTGGTGGGGAATGGGGAGGGACAGCAGGGGTAGGGAGGTTCGGGAGGGAAAACATGGGGAGAAATGACAGATATAGGTGACAGGGATGCAAATCACATTGCCATGTATGTACCTATGCAACAATCCTGCATGTTCTGCTCATGTGCCCCAGAACCTAAAGTGCAATAGTATATATATATAAAGGTTATACGAATAATTTTCAAGAATTAATGAAAGAGGACTAAAAGTAAATCAGAAATCAGAAAAAAAAAGGAGCACCCAACGTTACAGAAGCCAAGATAAGAAAGTCTCAAGGAATAAAGATTTCTTGAATTAATAGACCATTTGTACCCAGAAAATTGGGAATAAATTCGGACTGTGAAAGTTTAAGAAACAGAGATTGGTAAGGAAGTAAAGTCAAGTCTTAGCCAACTGCTCTTTCAAATGTATAGCAATTTAAAAAAGAAAGAAAGATCTAGCGGTAATTGTATTTCCCTTTTAGAAGAGGGTTAGAAGACCTGGTGTTTGACAGATCAGTAGGGTGAATATAGTTAGCACTGTTATACATTTCAAAATAGCTAGAAGAGAACAATTTGGATCTTCCTAGCATGAAAATCAGATAAATACTTGATATGATGGATGTCTCAATTATCCTGATTTGCTTATATAAATGCATCAAATTATTACATCGACCCTGAAAATACTTGTATCTATATGTATCAATTAAAAAATTAAAATATAAAAGCTGGAGATATTCTGCCATCATAGAAGAAGAAAACCGTAATAAGAACATATTTTAGGGAAAAAAAAAAAAAAAAGGAAAACATGTATTTAATGGCCGAAGATGCAACAAAAAGAGGTAAGGAAAATCTGAGGAGACAGTTGATGGAAAGAAATACAAAAGGCAAAAAGTAAAAAACTGAAGATTATGTCAGACTGTTTTCAATTTCAATGTCATTCTAGAGTGAGAAGATGAAAATACCTAGGGGTGGTGGTGGGGCAGAGACTGTGTTTATCTCTTATGTACAGGAAGTGTAGTGGTAGTAGGCAGACCAGGGATTGACTATTTAATAGTTACAAGTCATGAGAAACCTGGCTCATTCTATTTTTTTCTTCGCCATCCTAGTTGATGGCTTCTGTCGTCATGGTTCAAGGTAGCTAGTGGGTCTCTAGATACGCATGTGCTGGTTACAAAGAGGAAAAGCAGAAAGGCAAAAATGGCTATTTTCGTTGCATTAAGTCCCTTTAAGCAGCCTTCCTAGAAGTATTATATAAAATTTTTGCTTTCATCTATTTGGGCAGAAGTTATGTTAGCTACGCCTATCTACAAAGGAGGCTGGAAAATGTAGTCTTTTATTTCCTCAGTGTAACCAGTGAAAAGTAAGTGTTCTCTTACTAAGGAAAGGAAGATATCTCTATAGGCAATTGTCCTTCTCGGCCACTGACATAAGGCTCTGTGATGAAGCCAATTATTTCTGTGTTGTGACTTTCTCTAACAAGATGGCATATCAGGAAAACACTGTTTTGGCCAGGGCCATGGACTGGATTAGCAGTTACTAGTAAGTGAGTATATGCAGGATATAAGCAAAAATAATTCTGAAATCCTGAAACTAAGGTCCAGACTGATGGACTATGACAGAACAATGTATATTCAAGGAGCACAAGGAGGGTGCAGAGCTAGTTGAATAGGAAGAAAGGATTGGAAAAGATACTAAGTTGACAGAGGTAAGGCAGTTACAAATGCTCAAATTCTGAGGTGTGGCTATACTTAGCAGGAACAGAAAAACAGGCTATTACAGTTGATGTGCGGAAGCTTTGAGAACAAAGCTATAAGGGCCATTGATAAGGATGACGTCAGGAGATCAAGGAGGAGAGGAACGTTTTAGAAGGTTAAAAACCCAGATATTTATCACATCAGTAGATAATGAGAAGAGATTGTGAAAAGAGTAATGATAGGAAAAGAGTAATGAGAGACATAAACACTATGTGGCAATAAAAAACTATTTTTTATACAAAAGTAATTTTAAAAACTGTGGGATAATTTTAGATTTACAGAAAGGTCAAAAGGATACAGAGTTCCGTTATTCTCTTCAGCAAGGTTCCTCTAACGTCTTATATAACCATGGTACATTGGTCAAAACTAAAAATTAACAATCATACGGTACTATTAACTAGACTTTGAGTTCTGCAGATTCTCAGTAATGCCCTTTTTGTATGAAGGATGCAATTCAAGATATCACATTAAATTCAGTCATCATGCCTCCTTAAGCTTCTCTGCTCTGTGACAATTATTCAGTCTCTTTGACGGTAACACTTTAAAAAAAATCCTCTCAAAAATTTTGTGGAATGTCCCTGAATTCGGGTTCGATGTTTTCTCATAATTAGACTGAGGTTACATGGGTTTAAGAAAATCAGGGAACTTTGAGATGTACACTTCTCAAAGTATCATATCAGGTAATACATGTTACATCGACATGACTTTTCACTGGTGATGCTAACCTTGATCACTTGGTTAAAGTAGTGCTTGCATGATTTCAACACTGTAAAGCGATTTTCTTCTCTGTACTTTATTTCTTGAAAGCAAGTCATTAAGTCTGGCTCGCACTTTAAGAGAACTAAGCTCACACATTAGAGGGCATAGTAGCTGGCAATACTATTTGCGATTCTTCTATAGGAAAGATGTGCTCCTTCTCCCCCATTTATTTTTCAACCACCTATTTGTATCAGGAGGGATTCATGGATATTTACTTTATTCTTTGGGTTGTAATCCAGTGCTATCATCACTTACTTAGTTGCCCAAATTATTCCCGTTTTGGCGGAGGGCAGCAAAGTGATTTTATATAAATCACTGAATCCTCCAACAACCCAGTTAGCCTTATTTTATAGAAAAGGAAACTTAGGCTCTGAGAAAGTAAGAAGTCTTCCCAATGACATACCTTATTTGTGAGGAAGCCAGAATTTATTATGCCTAGTAGTCTGACTCCAGAGTCTATGTTTTTAGGTTGGCTATGCTATGCTGCTTTCTAAGGGATAGAATTGCTCCACAATTGCCCATCAGAGGTAAGGCACTGAATCACTTCTTCTTAGATAGAACTAAGCCTGCTGCCAGGCGGGAAGAGGAAAAGAGTGGTTAACAAAGGAAAAAGAAGGGATAAGAAGACCTTATAGGGCAACTAATAACATGCAGGAAAAAAGTTCATTCAAAGTGTAATCAGTTTGGATGCAGAGCCATAGAAAACGAGCCTGTGGTAAGATTAGTGAACTGCAACAATGCAGTATAATAGAAGGATGGAAAACAAAAGCAGTTTCAGATCAAATTTGTTACAAAGGAAGGAGGTAAAGAAGTAATTTATTGGACAAAAAAAAGAGGAAGATCATGTAATTTTGGAGGAGGACCTGTACACAGGGAATCCTATGGAGAAGGAGAGCCTCTGAGAAGGGAAGCGTCGAAGTTACATGTATGAGAACGAGAAAGAACCTGGGCTAACCCTGGAATTCAGGAACCTCTCCTCCTCACATACTGGAGGTAAGTCTAAGAGACCAAGGATAGAGGAATTGCTGAGGTGAAGGTACAGACAAACTTAGGATGATACCCTCAGTTTTATTAGTAAAAACGAAGCAAGGTCATGTGCAGACAGTGAAAGAAGTTAGAAAGGTTATCACCCAGTCCTGTCAGTGACCAACATCCCTGGGTTGGTGTTTGGTAGAGCTGGTGAAATTAGACAAGCTAGTCATTCATGGTGACAGAAATCATCAGAGGTGCACTCAGGTAATCTGGATTTTTACTTGATTTTTTTCAGATAGTTAAAACTAAATACTCTATGTAACTCTTAAAGACTCAGGGTTACTCTAAAATGTTCAGAATTAAATATGATGCTAACTTACAATCTGCTTATTGAGAAAAATACCTAATTGTAAAGAACACATACAAAACTAATAGAAAGGTAACTGTCACGAGAGTGAAAACGTTTTGTCAGGAATTTTTCTTCAATCAATTCTAACTGCAGAATTTTTCGTGATCTTCAACACTTTTAAAACCAAAGACTTCTGTATCATTTATACTTACTAAACAGAAAGACAAAGTTTGGGCAATGGTTTTTCTAAACTAAGCACAGAAAAGCTAACAAGGGTTATTTCAAATTTCTTCAGAAATATTCTTAAAATAATATTTATTAAAATGAAATTTTGGATTTTAATCTGATACAAACACTACTGCACTGATAACACAGGGCTTAAAGAAAAAGTCCATTTCAGAAGCATTTTAATTTATAAAGCTACTAAAAATGTTTTTTGCATCCAGATAAGGGCCAAACATTGGGAGGAAAAACTGTGTACGTTTATGAATTATTGACTTAATATATCTCTAAGTATTATAGATTGCCCTCATCTAAAATAGTTATAATACTATAAGACATAATTTCCTTTAGGTGGACCAGAAAGAAGAATTTACATTAAAACACGTTATTCATATTTATTTTATTACATATATATTATTGTATACAACTTTGATAACAAGGATATTATAAATCATACTTTAAGCAAAAATCTATGCATGGCATATGTAAGCAGTAACATTCTGAAGCAAAAGAGCCATGAAAGCATTTACCTAAAATTTATTAACACTGAAAAACACTAGTTGGTGCATAGTAATGATTGAAAGCTTCATAATACACTAGAATACTAGTAAGTCCTCAGGTATTGTAGGAAAAACCTGGTACAGGAAAAGAGTAAATTAGACACACCCACATTCTTAGATGTGCATATCATCTAGAAATAAATCCCTCAGTGTGGCAGTGCATTAAGCATCCTTCCTTTGGCACTTAACAATACAGACAAAGATGTATTTGGTTTAATGTGGTGTGGTTTTATTCTTAGATACATTTTAGTTATTTTATATAGATAAAAATATACAATATTGCTTTTAAAACTTTTAATTTTATAACTGTATAACTGATTTGTCATCATATTCACAATTAAAAAGCCTATTTTTCCACTTAACAATATGTCCAATAACTTGTGGAAGAGAGTAACAAAAATGGTTTATAGAAGACTTAAAAGGTTTAAATGTAAAATTAGAATATTAATCTAGACCACTGGTCTAAATCGTTAGATATCTCATGTTGGAAACAAATTATGAAATGTTTCAGACAAATTTTTTTCAACACAAGTTGATTATGCAGATTTAAAAATTTCGACTGAAAATACACAGAACTGACAGATATTTTGTCTGAAGCCACTTTTAAATACAATAATTTACTTAAAAAATGAAAATAAATGAAAATTGTATTTTAATACATCTCAGTTTGGGATTCCATCAGATTGTAAAATAATACATGCAAAATATGTCTAAGCTCTTCAGCGCTCATTTCTAAAGAAAAGAACAGCCAGGTGCAGTGGCTCACGCCTGTAATCCCAGAACTTTGGGAGGCCGAGGCAGGAGGATCACCTGAGGCCAGGAGTTTGAGACCGGCCTGGCCAACACAGTGAAATCCCGTTTTTTCTAAAAATACAAAAATTAGCTAGGCATAGTGGCATATGCCTGTAATCCCAGCAACTCAGGAGTCTGAGGCAGTAGAATCACTTGAACCCAAGAGGTGGAGGTTGCAGTCAGTCGAGATTGCACCACTGCACTCCAGTCTGGGAGGCAGAGTGAGACTCTGTTTCTCCCCACTTCCCCCCGCCAAAAAAAAAAGAAGAAAAGAATAAAAAATGGTGGGATTTTTTCTTTTAAACCATTTCAGGACAGTAAAGTTGATAGGATGATTAATTTGCCTATTGGTAATGAAGATCACAGTATCATTAAAAACAACCTAATGTTTTAATGTAAAGGAACTATGTTAAAGCAGTTGGATTTATTACTTGATTTCTTAGAAAGACACACTGATAAAGGACGTAAAGACCCAACAAATTATTTAAGTGCATATGTAAGGTATGGACTTTTTAAAATGAAAAACTGCATATATCTTACATATAGTTTTGTTCATTCTATCTATACAATGCAACATTCAATTCACTCATTACAATACTTTGCACCAAACATTGCTACCTGCAATCTTAACACTCCTCAAATATGAGAAAAACAAATAGTTTCCACTGTTCTAGGAAGCGAAATTTATAAAGTCAACACAATATATTATCAAGGATTATAGACCTAAAACAGTTTTTAAAGACAATTTATACACATTGAAATGGGTGCTTTGCTTAATAGAATTAAAAATCTAGAAATAAAGCTTCTTGCAATTTAATAAACATGGTTGCAGTTAACAGCAGATTTTTCACATTGCAACATTCAACTATCAACGTGGAAATTTCAATAAACAGTGGTATATTTATTTCTTCTGCAAACACTGTTGAAGAATTTAAGTGCTATTATATAATAATTAAGAAATAATTGGGAAAGACATTTTACTTTTAAATCTTTTCAACATAAGGCACATAGCAACATTTATAGTCTAGAAACAACTAAATTATGCAATAAATAATTATTTTTTCAATCATTATTTGCCCTTTACCTGAAGTAAGTAGGGAAGTAGGACAGTTAAAACATGCCTGAATTAATAAAATGGTTGGATTTAGGAAATACAAATAATATTTGTGCGCAGAAAATAATTTAAAAAAGAAAAAGAATACTTTATATAAAATATACATCCTACAGTGTTATAGGTAGAAAAGTGTGAGGCACTTAGATTAACAGTGAAGGAGGAAAGCACTGAGATTATCTTTTTATAAAAAGCACCAAATCATTTATTTTAACATCCAAGATAAAAGCAGAGGCTAAAATAATAGGAAAAATGAGGTTAGTTCTATAACTTTGTATTTGGAGAACTAATAAAAATCCAGAAGTTCAAAACTCAAAGTATTTTATTTTATTCTAAAAGAAACAATTCAAATAGAGAATGTTTTCTAATTTAGAAGAGTCTTAAAGTTTCCCTGAATAAGTTTTGAATATTTTGTGATGCTCAGAATAATGTGAAATGTAGATAGTATCTCACTACTCTGTGGCAGCACACTTTCTACACTAATGACTATAGTATATGTAATTTTGATATCATTTTGAAAATTCCTTTTCTAAAAACAGAAATTAAAATTTGTTTGGAAGAATTGTAAAGAGCATGCATCAATGCCTCCATGTGAACTTGCTGATGTCCAACAATGACAGTTTTATTATTCCACAATCCTTTACAAACTACTTTAATCCAAAAACCAGGGTCAAAATTGGGCTTGGAATTACAGGAATCCACTTGATGTCAAATCAGGAAAAGGTGTGGCTTCTGACGGATGATGAAGTGGCTGAAGATGTGTAGTAGTCTGAGTGTTATTTATGTTATTTAATTCAGCTGGATATGTTTCATTTAAAACTCCATTCTGAAACTGAAAACAAAAGTAGTGATACAACTTACTGGAATGGATCTTCCAAGTATCTTAAGCCATTAAATAACATATTAACATGTACTTTTAAAATCTTACCCTTGAGAGTTGTTAACTTCAAGTTCCTTTACTGCTACTAAATTTTAAATCTTTCATACAGTGAAGACATAACTGAGGACATATTATGTATTAGCTGCATTTATAACCTGTTTTTTTTTTTTCATTAATTTGACAGGAAATTTTGAACATGGTACAGAAGAGTGATACAGCTGCCTCATTTCAGACTGCCTTTGGATCAGATAGGAATTGATGGGTCAAAGAGCATCAGTCAGGAGTTATAGTAGACCAGGTTTCAAGTTATAGGTGTCAATGAACTGGTTATATTCAGAAATCTTACACTGGAATGCAAAACTTTTCCAAAAAAGGCAGCTTCTGATTTTCTAAATATTTTTAAAATATTACACCACAGGTATGATTTCCTTAACCAATATCTTATTCATAATATACTTTTAATTAATGAATACTACTGAAAGCATAGTTCTAATTACAGAATCAAGTTACCAAAAGAAAATGCCCTTTCTTGTTTTCTTAGACTGCAATGAATCTGGTTTCTGTAAGCAAGTAGAAAAAAAGAAAAAAAAAAAAGGGAAGGACATGAAGATGCATAACTCTGTAGAGTTTTATAGATTATAGAGCCTTTATATTTTAGTTAGTGTATGTTCTGGAAACGTTAAAACAAATTTAAATTATATCCTTAATTGCTTCAAATAAAATCTACCTTTCTAAACCTTAGGTAACATTAGGCTTCAGTAATCAAAAGATTGACTACTTCACAAATCCTCCAAAACAAATACAATCTATAGCAAAAATCACATAACCTGACCTTCAATGAATGGCAACTCTTCAAATTCTTTAAATAAAAAGTTAACAGCACTTGTTCCGATAATGGTGAGTTTTAAATGAATTTTTCTCATTACTCATAAAAATTTATGTCAGTTGTTCTCTTTAAACATACTGTACAGAGTAGTGTCATCCAATAGAAATGTGAGCCACATACAGAACTTAAAGTTTTGACTGCAGTAGATTAAATAAAATACATTACTAAAGTTAATTTTACCTGTTTCTTTTTACTTTTTCTAACGTGGCTACTGAACAAATTAAACATTTCAGCAAGAAATCAATAATGAAAGATAAGATAGTTTACATTCCTTTTTCAAGCCAGTTCTTCAAACTCCAATGTGTATTTCACACAGCAGATCTCAATATGGACTAGCCACATTTCAAGTGCGCAACAGCTACTCAGTGGCTCAATACTGAGTGTCTTAGCTCTGTAACATCTACTGTGGAGCATATGTAGGTCTACAGAATTATCTGGTTATTCACAAAGAAGCAATACAAAGAAGTGAGGGGAAAACACTGCAAAGAACTTATGTGGTACTAATGCAACTCCTTATTCAAAATGTAATTTTACAGAATTAACTTCTGTACAATTTGCTTTACTCGAGAGTAAAATATACTTTCATAGCAATTTTGTGAGACTGCCTATAATTGAACGTTAATCAATTTTAATATAATTGAAGGATGTAAGGAGTAAGAAAAATCTTCGCCATCCTTTTCTATTAAAAAGCTCATAAACAAAATATGACAAACAAAATGTATGAAAAAATCAGACAAATATAACTATGTAAAAAGCCAGAAAATACAATTAAGGATAAAGATTCAGGTCATACTTTTCATTATTATACTTGAATACAGAGTAAACAGGGGTCAAGGAACTTAATTTTAGTCAAAATATTCTTTAAAACTAAACTTAAATGTACTCTAAAATGAACTAAATATTTTCTAATGGAAAAGCATAAATGCAAACATGATGCATTCCTCAGTGGCCAGAGACAGCAGCTATTAACACTGTTACCTTTTTTTATTTAAGTGATCATTTTAAGATTTAAAGTGTGCTCACTGCTAGAAGGATTCTGATGACACATTAACACAACAAAAATACACTGTCAAGCTTGATTTCCAGGACAAGCCAGCTGAGTTCTCTTTTAAGAAAGCCGAAAAGAAACAAAGCGATTCTGCCTTAAAGGATAAAATAAGGATAGAGCAGGTAATGTGGAGGAATAGCTAGAGAACATGAGGTGCCTAGGACTTAATTCCAGGGATATAATCTAGGACAAAGGCATTGTAAGAAAGCACACTTACATTTGAGTTTAAATCAATTTCGAACACATATAAAAAAATAGAACCTTGAAGAAACTATTCTTAAAAACTGCAATATGTTTTTAAAGTTTGATTTTTTAAAAGCCATACAATTTTTAAAGAATCCAGAAAGAGGCCGGGTGCGGTGGCTCAAGCCTGTAATCCCAGCACTTTGGGAGGCCGAGGCGGGCGGATCACGAGGTCAAGAGATCGAGACCATCCTGGTCAACACGGTGAAACCCCGTCTCTACTAAAAATACAAAAAATTAGCTGGGCATTGTGGCGTGTGCCTGTAATCCCAGTTACTCAGGAGGCTGAGGCAGGAGAATTGCCTGAACCCAGGAGGCGGAGGTTGCGGTGAGCCGAGATCGCGCCATTGCACTCCAGCCTGGGTAACAAGAGCGAAACTCCGTCTCAAAAAAAAAAAAAAAAAAAAAGAATCCAGAAAGAATAAACCAAATTACCTATTTTAAACGTAACACTTTTAAAAACTTATTTCACCTGGTAATTTAGGTCATCTTACATTAAGGACACATTTATGTTGCTTTAGCCCTTGATACCTTTCTCCCTCATGACTCAGGTGAGTGATGTATTAGTAACATACTGGAAAAAGTACAGGCTTATGAAAAAAAAAAGGTAGTCACAGATATAATGAAAAATGCTGTCTCCATGAAGGCTGTAGATAATAGATTAAAATCAGCTGATATAAAAAATGTGTAACCTATTTATAAGGTGACAAGAATCACTGAAAGATTTATTCAGTTTGATAACACCCTTACCTTGTTTAAAAATGCCTGTTGACCTGGCAGTACTGGACTGTACTGCATCTGACCCACGTGGGTGTGCTGAGGTTCTGGCTGGCACTGATACATCGACACAGACCCGGCATAACATGTCTGAGGGGTTACTATGGCTGACTGTCGATTTAATCCATGGTTTTGGTTTTCAGGAACTTGTAAACAAGTGACAAATTCTTCTAAACTAGAAGTAGTGGGGTATGGGGATGGTTCAAAACTCCCCATAGGATAGTCCAGCTCTGTACATTTGGAATGTTGTGGTAATACAGACTGATTACAGGAAATGAAGTTCTGGGTATAAGGCATAGGATCAATTTCAGATTTGTAGGGAAACTCTTGATTGATCCCATGTACGTCTGAAAAGACATTATACTGTTGGAGGTCTTGCTGAGGACAACTGAAAGGCACGAATTGGTTAGCGTTCCAGTTTGCAAACATGCCATTAACTTGCATATGCTTCATTTTCTGACACAGTTGTTGCTGTGGCTCTACCACTACTCGGTGATGCTGTTGCTGCTGTTGCTGTTCTAGCTGTAGGTGTTCCTGTACCATACAGCTTGAGTTCAGGGCCAGGGACTGTTGCTGTTGGTATTCTGAAGGTACGAAGGCAGACTTATTTAAAGAATCCTGGATATATGTCAGGATTTCATCTGTTAAGTCAATGTCTCTGAAGTCAATCTCACCAGAAAAATCATTTCTGAAAAATTTTTCATTCTGCATCTGTTTGATGTCTTCGAGATCAATGCCTAGGTTTTTCATAATGCTGTATAAGTCAGTGTTTTTACTATCTTGAAAGAGCCCTGGGTGACCTCCAGCAAATGAGTTTACATCCTGAGACTGGTCAATTTGCTCATGTTTCAGGATAGTATCATTTCCTATTGATGCAGTATTATCTTGCCAATTTCTGCATTCATTCATAGATTCATTAAAAAAATTGTTTTCAAAAGGTGCAGTATATGAAGTACTTGAAGCAGGATACAGATAAATCGACTCATCTTGTTGCATCACAGCAGCCAGGAGGGAACTAGGATTGAGAGACTCCTTGTTTAGAGTTGATTTGGTAGCAGAATCTTTTCCACTCGTGCCATTTTTCGTCCTTAGTGGTAAGGGATCCATTATGGCAGGAAAAGGGTTGGTTACCTCATACAATACAGCTTCTCCAGTAGTAAACATAAAAGGCAACTTCGTATTTCGTTTTCGTAAATGCTCATTTCCTTCCTCATCTCTAAAATTGTGTATAAAAAAGCCTTAATAAAAATTATATCATAAACATTTCAAAATAATAATTAAAAAAAAGAAAAGCAAAATACTTAATTGAATTCAGAAAAGGACGTATTTTATTTTCACCTCAATTATGAGTAGTGCCATAAAATTGTTTTTCCGACAAGCATATTTAAATAACTTAATTTTTTAAAAATAACTTAGTTAATTCCATGGTCAGGTTATATCCTACCTGACATCCTGCAGAAAAAATAAATTTGTGTGGAATAAAGATCTACACATAAAAGCAGACTACAAGGATTTAGGGGCCAGGTCTGGTGGTGCATGCCTGTAATTGCAGCACTTTGGGAGGCTGATGTGTGCGATTCGTTGCAAGATTTTGAGACCAAGCTGGGCAACATGGCAAGACCCCTACCTCTGCAAAATAATAAAAGTTAGCCGGGCATGGTGGCACATGCCTACAGTTTTGGCTACTGGTGAAGCTGAGGCAGGAGGATTGCCTGAGCCTGGAGGTTAACCCTAACCCTAACCCTAATGAGCCACATTTGTGCCACTGCATTCCAGCCTAGGTAACAGAGTAAGGTCCCAGCTCAAAACAAAATTTAAAAATTTATGCATTAGAAATTTAAGAATCTGAAACAACTAACTTCTCTAGTAAAACCCAGAAGCTATAAAGACATTATTGGCATAATTGGTAATTGAAAATTATTTAGTACTAATTAAAGTGTTTGTATTTTTGCAAGAGAATTCTTGAGGCATAAAGAAACTATTTTTAACATACATCATGTATTTATAATTTAATATATGTATACAATTTCATATCTATAATAGGTAAAACGCTCCAACAGAGTCTAAGAGAGAGGCAAACAACTCAAGAAAAACAGGTAAATGATAATACAAACTTGTAATTCAAAAAAAGAAAAATGTCCTAGAAAGATGTAAAAAGATGCCCTCCCTCATTAGTAATAAGTAAATGAAGGCCGGGCGCGGTGGCTCAAGCCTGTAATCCCAGCACTTTGGGAGGCCGAGGCGGGTGGATCACGAGGTCGAGAGATCGAGACCATCCTGGTCAACCTGGTGAAACCCCGTCTCTACTAAAAATACAAAAAATTAGCTGGGCATGGTGGCGTGTGCCTGTAATCCCAGCTACTCAGGAGGCTGAGGCAGGAGAATTGCCTGAACCCAGGAGGTGGAGGTTGCGGTGAGCCGAGATTGTGCCATTGCACTCCAGCCTGGGTAACAAGAGCGAAACTCCGTCCCCCCAAAAAAATTAATAAGTAAATGAAAACAACATGTCTTATAACAGAAGCACACAAAATATCTATCAACAAATGTATAGAAATATGAACACAATTAACAAACTAGACTTCTGAGATATAAAAATAACACCATACTCCCAAAAGACAGAATATGTATTCTTCACAAGATTACATGGGATATTTTATCAACATAGATCGTGTGTTAGATTATAAAATAAGCCACCACAAATTTCAAAAAACCTGAAGTCCACTCAGAGAATGTTTTCTGACTACAATGGAATTAAGCTAAAAGTCAATCACAAAAAGGCAACTAGAAAAATCCCCAAACATCAAAAAGTAGAGTAACACGGTATTTATAAATAATTCACTAATAAAAATCAAATGAAAAGAAAATTAGCCAGTATTTTCAATTAAATAATAAAAATAAGACAGCAAAAGATGAGGGTTGTCATTTAAGTGTTGTACTTAAAGGGAAACTGATATAATGTTTAAGTATATATATTTCTAAAAGTTAGAAAAAATTATATATTATATCCAAAGAAGGTAGAAGGAAGAAAATATTAATGAGCAGACCTAATTAAAATGACAAATAAATGTGTAAAGTAGAAAAAAAAATCAATCAACCAAAAGTTGGATCTTAATAAAAACTAATAAAATCTAATCTAAAGAAAACTGCCTTCTAGAAACATTGATCAAGGGAGAAGGGACAAATTTGTAGAGGTACACACATACCCATGCACTCATATACTTATGTACACACATACGCCTGTACTTCCATGGGTACTTACAAACACACACATTCACCATGTTTATGGGTTCAAAGACTCAGTATTAAAAAGATGTTAATTCTCCTCAAATAATCTACAGTTTCAATGTAATCCCACTCAAAATCTCAACAGATTTTCAGACAACTGGTTTCTAAAATGTATCTGAACTATAAAGGGCAAAGAAGAGCCAAGGCAATCTTGAACAACCACCAAAAAAAGGCAAAACAAACAAAATGAAGACACAGTCCGACATCAAAATTTATAATAAAGACAGAATAAGATAGTGTAATGCTGGTACAAAATAGATAACTACATCAATGGCGCTATTAACAGGACAACAGAATCCAGAGAGAGAACAACAGACAAAATTCCCTGATTAAAATACAGCATAGTGGGGAAAAGATGACCTTTTTAGTAAAGCATCTTTCCAATGTTACTGGTCAATTGGGTACACATATAAGGGCTAGGGGGAGTCAATCTTAGGTAATTCTTACCTCAAGCCACAGACAAAAGTCAATTATCCAGAGTAGGAGAAAACATTCACCATACAAATATTTGACAAAAGACTCAAGTCAGTCTTGATTGATTGATTACCTCAAGTCAATCTTGATTGATTACCTCAAGCCAATCTTGAGGTAATCCTTACCTCAAGCCACAGACAAAAGTCAATTATCCAGAGTAGGAGAAAACATTCACCATACAAATATTTGACAAAAGACTCAATTGCAGCCTATATAAGAAACTCTTAAAATCACTGCTGTATTTAGAGAACATATTCTTAAAAAAGCATTGTTATATTTTTCTTTTATATTACCAATGACATTAGCTTTTCATATGCTCAGGATAAAACCCTAGAGTGTTCTTTTAATATTCTTTCTGGAGCTCTGCACAGGTAGGTGATCAATAAAGTTTGTCAATTGTATCTTCTCAATGTCTCTCACCTGTGCTTTTCTTACTAGACAAATTACGTTAACTTTTCAATTTTTATTTCCAGACTAAATTCTGATTGAATTACTTTTATGCTGTCACATAAGAGGACTTATGAAAACAACACTGAAAACAAAAACAGAAAACATTCTTTGTGCTTACGTCAGCGGTCTCTGAGTCGCAATGATATAATCCGGTCTTCCATTTTTATAAAGCAAGCGTGCATTGGACTGGACCCATGCCCATCGATTGTTTTTTGTAAGAAGTCGGAAAACTATCATGCCACTTTCTCCGGTCTTAATCACTAAAATAAAATTTAAAAATTACATTATGAAACTTCAAATCAATATATTGAAGGATATTCCTAAAAACAAAGCTCTTGTGACATAGTTCTGGATGTATTTCCTTTATTCCCAAAGACAGTAAGTTTTAAACACAAAATATTATAAGACATATAAATAGTTTTATGGAGTTGTTTTTTCCCCCATTTCAGACTAAATTTATTATTTTAAATGTTAAAGGAAAGATTATGAACTAGAGAATTCTAGTAACACAGGAAAGTATAGAGAGAGCAGAAATTGGGGGAAAAAAATTAAAACATTTTCATTTTAAATAGGGAATGTTTTCCTAAAGCCTAATACTTTCTAATTTTAAAGTGAAGTATTAACACTATTATTGTTAAAATAGTAACATAGATTTATGAATTGACAATGATGTAACTGAAGAATTCCCAAGCAAAATTTCATGGGCCACAATGGTCATTTTTCAGTCACTAAACTGCAATATTTCTGGATGGCAGGTGTCAACAAGTTAATGAACAGACTGTAACCCTGGTTAATCATAATGATATGTTACCAAGTAGAAGTTTATCCATATAGTTTACTTAAACACATTACATTACATAATTTGAAACACGTACAACAGCATATGCTGTTTTTTCTGACGTGTTCATAAGGAACTACGACTTACTCCGGATATGGGACTCGGCACAATAAAGCATGTCAGCAGCATGAAGAAACTGATATCCTGATCCTCTTGTGCACAGCTCTGCTTCGGTATATCCTAAAACAATTTTTCCTCTGTTTAAAATAAAGGTAAAATAGGAATGAATTTAGATTTAACATAAATGAAATAATCAAGATAAATTCATTGTTTTTACGCTAGTTTCTGCCAAATGTGTTAGTGACAGTTAGAATTTCACATGAGTAAGTAGATACGAAATTAAACACATCTATGTAAACTGCTCTTCTTTGCTTATGGCTGCAAATTTCAGTTTCAGCCTACTTTTTTTTTCCTGAATAAAAACACGGAAATCAGTAAGCTAAAAATGAATCTAATAGAGCAGATGTATGGGTAACAGAAAACCTTTAATAACATTTGTGCCATATAAAAATGTAAAAGAAACCAACAATAAATGTCATCAGAACAAATTTTACTAATATATAAGAACATCATTTGAGACAAGTATTGCAAAAAATTAAAAGGATGATTTGTGAGCCAAATGAAATTATTTTGCTTTAAAAGGCTATACTGAAAGAACAGCCAATCTAATAATAAACAATATTACATACAGTCTACACTGTATGTTTTACATGCTAAGAGAGACTTACTTAACCATAACGTGCATCCAATAAAATAGAAGTGAAAAAGTCTCACTTACTTGGCATCACAACCAATAGGTGTGAAGTCTAGTTTGTGTTTAGTTCTAAAGATAAAATTTTTGGTCCGGATTTCAAGTATGGATGGTGGCTGAAGTGGAGTAGCTATTGCAAACAAAGCCAACTGAGGTGGAAGTATTGATCCATCTTTCCCTTTCTTTTTTTGTCCATGAAGATACTTTAACCTCCCTTGGAAATTCATTGCCTTAAAAGAAACAAAAAAGCAAAAAAAGTTCATTAAAATTAACAATATAAAATAGTTCCTTTGAAAAAGGCTCCATTATGGCTGCCCCTAGGGTTCTTGATAATTCCATAAATGTTCCTGAAACTGAGAACAGTTAGTTTCTTTCATTCCTCTCTTCATGGGAACCTCATTAAAACTATCCCAAAGAGTAGAATGAGAAATATTGTAAAGGGGTAAGTGAAGCACTCCTTGTTTCTAACTGTCATAACATGAATACCTGTATCATTTTCGAGCTTGCCATTACCCTATCATTTTCACCTCGCACAGCTCCTTCCACACCAGGTAATCAATATATCCTGAATGGTGATAAAGTCCTAAAGTAAACACTCATTTTCAAGCATACAAACATGAACTATATCACAGCTCACAGCATACTGCATAGTTCAGAGTAATGTTTTCTATAGAGACAAAATATAATTTTATTAAAACACTAAACTGAATCATCATGAAAACAAAGAATGCAGAGCTCTACTGAGCAAAGATACAGAAGAAATTTAGAGGACAGAGAAAACAAAGGTGATTTAAACATGAACACGATATATTTATTTGGTTAAAACAGTATCAATCAGTCCAAGGGATGATTCTGACATCAAAATAATAACAGCACAAGGAGGAGAAGACCCTCTTGCAAACAGATACTGCACCTCAGAAATAGAGTCACATGTCACTTAACAAAAAGAGCATGTTTTGCAGAATGTCCTTAAGCAATTTTGTCATCTTGTGAATATCAGAGGGTAGGTACACAAACCTTGATGGTATAACTTACTATGCATCTAAGCTATACAGTATAGCCTATTGTTGGTAGGCTTCAAATCTGTACAGCATGCTATTGTACTGAATACTTTAAACAAATGTAACACAATGGTAAGTATTCTATCTAATATAGAAAATATACAGTAAAAATAAAATATAAAAGACAAAAGATGGTATACCGGTACAAGAGAACTTATTGTAAATAAAGCAGGCAGGACTGAAAGTTGCTCTGGTTTAGTCAGTGAGCAAATGAGTGGAGAGTGAATGTGAAGGTCTAAGACATTACTGTACACCACTATAGAGTTTATAAACACTATACACTTAGGCTATGCTGAATTTATAAAAAAAAAAAACATTTTCCTTTCAGCCAGGTGCGGTGGCTCACATCGGTAATCCCAGCACAGCTGACTGTAACTGTTTTTACTGTGTAAACTTTTACATTTTTAACTTGTTGACTCTTTTGTAATAACAATTAAACACAGTGTACAGTCATATAAAAATATTTTCTTTCTTTGTATCATTATTCTGTAAGTTTTCTTCTATAAATTTTAATTTTTTTCCTTTTAAAACTTTTTGTTAAAAACTAAGACACAAACCCACACATTAGCTGAGATCTGCACAGGGTGAAGATCATCAATGTTCCTATCTTCCACCTCTACATCTTGTCCCAATGGAACATTTGCAAGTGCAGTAACATGCATGGAGCTGTCATCTCCTGTGATAACAATGCCTTCTTTTGTAATATTTCCTGAAGGACCTGCCTGAGACTATTTTACAGTTAACCTTACTCTAAAACAATGAATAAAATAATAATTAAAAGTATAATAAAGTAAAAAATAAAGTAAAATAATGATTAGTAAATATATAAATACATAGTGATTTATTATTTTCAAGTATTATGTATTATACATAATTGTATGTGCTATACTTTTTATATGACTGGCAACAAAGGTTTGCTTCCATCAGCATCACCATCAACATGTGAGTAATGCTATGTTGTCATTAGGTGACAGGAATTTTTTGGCTACATTATAATCTCATGGGACTACCATCACATACGTGGTCTGTCATTGACCAAAGCATCATTATGCAGCATGATACTCTACATACTAACTATTCATGAGCAATAATAATGGGAAAATTATCTCAAAGCACAATTCTAACTCTGGGTCAGCAAAATTCTCTTCAGAAATAAACACATGAACAAAAACTATTGCTTGAAAATGCTTAATTTAAGATTGGACTATCTGATTCAAATTCCTTATAATTCACAAAAAGAATACACAATATAGTTTGTATTCTCTTCTCCTGTATTTAGTGACACGAGTTGTCTAAGGATACAACTGAGAGAACAGACAAGCCCAATCTGAGTAATCCTAAACTGCTTCCTACAGTCAACTCCCATGCAGGTGTTCAGACTTTGCAACAAGAAACATCGTCTCCTATCAGATGACTCTATAATCGTGAATATACAATCATTTTTCTATGTGGCAGATATTTGAGACATATGGAAAGGCCATAATTTTTCTGTCTAGCGGGCATTAAATGCCAAGATGGTAAGTATCCTGATACTAAAAAAGGGCTACATAATTCTCTGAAACCTTAAAAATCCTAAAATAGTCAAAATACAAGGCTCCATGTTATTTCACTCAATCTTTGTTACTATATCCTAAAGAATAGTTTTCTGAGTTATAGAAGATAGTCAAAATCAGAAATAGTTATTTTAAAATGTTACCTTCCTTTATCAAATTATTTGGTAGCAAACTTTTTAAAGCTGAAATCAAAGATAACCAAAGAAAATTAGCTTCACTTAACTTTTTTTTCCTATAGTTTAATAATGTCAAATCAAACTAAATTTAGGCTGAAAATGCCTCTGCTCCTTGAATCCTTACCAAGGAATTGCAACTTCATATATAAACTAAGGGAAAGCCTAACAGTAGGAGTTAACTTCTGTAACCAAATAGTTGAGTCTCAGTCAGTAAAAGGTGGTCTACTGATCAGATCATATTCAAATAAGGCAAACCCCAAACTGTAATCAATCAAGCTATTTCTGTACCTCACTTGCATTTTCTGTCCATAAATGCTCCAGCCCATGTTTTTAATTTTAAGTAAGCTCTCTGAATCTCTTTGGTTCTGAGGGCTGCCTGATTTTGGAATCGTTCTTTGCTCAATTAAATTTTTCTAAATTAAATTTGCCTCAAATTTGTATTGTAACAATAGTAAAGCCAGTATCATAAGATTTTGTACCTTACCAGAAAACCAGATGAATTATCCAGCAGACACCTTAGACGACATATGAAGCACCTCTCCATAAAAGGAGAGTTTTCTGGAGGAAGCTGGTCTGCGTTATAACAGACTACTGGCTGGGGGAGACCAGGAGCTTCTGTTGAAATAAAGGCAAAACAAAAATTACTTTCCATTTTGCTGTAAAATTAAGCATTTGAATAGATAAAATTTGTGTTAATTTCTAAACTGGAGTCTGAATTCCGAATACAAAAAAAATCATTTTCAGAAGAGCTAATGACAAGAAACTAAAAGTATATTAAATATCACTTTTATCACAGAGAACTGGTATAATTTTTCAACTTTTTATTGAGCTACAACTGTCAACAACTTTTAACAGATTTCCAAAAACAATTTTTTTTTTTTTTGCATTGAGAAAAACCTTTTTATGCTTGCATATGCTAGTTTACTTCTTTCTTTGGTGGATTTTAAACATAATAATTTACATGCACTCAGGTATCAACCTTGTACCCTCCTTCCATCTTTCATGATGGTCCTACTTACTTTTATAAAATACATTACTGAGTATGGCAATATTGTGTTGCCTGAAACTCATTAATGGCTCTCATTTGCCAAAATATTCCTTAGCTCATTAGGTTGTTTGTGACCTAGCTGTGGCCTATGGTTACAGACTTACTTCTTTCCACTACTTCCCTAGCATTGAGTTCTATGATGCTACACGTTCCCAGCCTCCTTTCACAGAATCATATTTAAAAACTACCAACACTATCTTTTATGCCATCAATTCTTACCTTCAATTCTTTGTCCAGACTCTGTACACTGAGAAGGATTTAAAGCCCAGTGTAGTTGACGCTGAAATTCAGCTCGGTCTTCTGTATGGATAAGTTCATATACACTCTGATGTATGACATCGGACTAAAAAAAGATACAAGGAATACAACAAAAGTACTGAGTAAAAAATATGGGTTACTAATGTAATTTTGAAGCCTATTTAAATTAGTGGGTGCTTGCTAGTGGTGATGAATACGAATTGAACGATTCCTAAAGTTCCCAGTCACCTAAGATAGAAAAAGCTAGAGAGACTGGCACTAAAACAGAGAAGCCAAAAACTACTTGTCATCACTTCCCAACATGAATGCTCTTGCTCAAATAAGTCACCTCTCCATTCCTTAAGTGCAACATCTTAAAACCTATTTATGTTCTGTATCCATTTGTTAATTTTTAGATTCTTATCACTTCCATGCATCTTTTCCTAACCACCCAGGCCTCTTTGACTTCTCCAAGCTTAGTGGTATTCTTTACATATTTGCTTCACTGTTGACTAAAATGTTCTTGGTATAAAATTTTCACTCCAAATAGACTCCACAAGAGTAAGGGACTGTGACTTTAGCATATCAAACCTACTTTCCCCCTCTTGCCTCTCACCATTTACTACAGTGCTGAGTCCTTAGTGCTTAAACCAGAGTTGTCATAACTTTTTTTCAACTGCAAGTTATGATAAAAAATATGTTTCCACCGGTCACAGGTGTATGCACATATACACATGGAAAAAATTACAAAACACTTACCATTATTATGAGAGATAATATTGTATATTCTGTATTATTTTATTCCATCCTAAGCAACTAAAAAGCAGTTTGACGGTGATCTACCGTCTCAACTGCACATCCATGAGCAGTCACAACTTGCAGTTTTGAAAATGATACCTTGATCTACCACTTGTGTCAGATATAAATGTTCTCTTAGGGAAAAAAAATCCATGTGCATATGTGAGGAAAAAAATGGATTGGAAAATGGCTAATCTCTTGGATTTTCTCACTGATATAAATCACAATTTGAAATCATGATTTGATAGTTATATAATTTATTAGACTTAAAACAAGTTTTTCTATGGACATTAATATATTTTCTTTAGACTGCAAGAAAACAAAAGTTTAGACTTTGTGGCAGTAGCTAGAGTCCACTACGTCAGTTATCTACACTTAAATCTCCCTAGGAACCCAATCTTCTAGTATTAAATCATCTCAATGCCACCCATTACACAATTTCTAGAAGCTGCATCTGAAATACAAGTTGAATCATACACATCCCCTTTAACCAAAGCCTTCAGTGGTTTCCACTGGGTATATAATATGGTCAAAGCTCTAGTCTATATAACTGTTTAAGACCAGCAGGCTTGTGAGCTTGACAGAAATGCAAATTCATGCTCCCCACTGTGAATTACCGATTCAGAATACCTGGCAATGGGACTCAGAGAGATGACCAAGTTTTATCAAGGTCTTCAGGTGATTCTTGTGCACGTTACAGTCTGAGAACCAGACATATGAGAATAGCAAGAATTCAAATGTACTTACAGTCTGTTCCCAAACCATAAAAGAAGTTCTTGTCCTTCAAATATGTCAAATATTTATAGTTCCATCTATTCACCATTCATTCAATAACATTAAACAAGCCAGAGATGTTTGTTTCCTTCAACAACTTCCAGCCTAATGCTTACAGTACTTCTACAGTCCTACGTTCCCTTGTCCACCCACCTGGTACACATTATTTAGGTCAGCTTAAGTACCATTTGCTTTAGGATAACTTCCATAATCCACACAACTCAGAAATAAAAGTATAAACCAGAGGATTTTACTTGCACTTTTTGTATAACACCTCATTCATTTCATAGTTGTCATAAATCCTCTGCTACCCCTAAGTTATTTGATGGCAAATAATTTTGTATCTTCTCCCCTAGACCCTATGTGCCTGAAAGTTTCTTATATATGAGATTCTTCATAAGCAAAAGGAACACAACAACCATGAATCACATACAGGTTTAACGAAATTATAGTGCAGTGAATTATTACTAGAAAAAAAATGATTAGCTACAAATACTTATTCTACAGAATATATTGATACTTTATACAAATGGTCAACTGTGTCCTAAAGTATAATGTGTATGAAAAGTAAATATAATAATATAAATGATATAAATAGTGTGTACTTACCTGCTGAAACCCTAGATAATCCTGTATAGTAGAGGAAGCATAAAAGACCAAAGCATCTGTAGTGACAACTAATACAAAGCCATTGAGAGCCTACAAGGAAAGGAAGTTTTAAAGTTAGTAATTTGACTTAATATTGACTAGCAGATAAAGGTTATTACTTTTATCTCTAAAAAATCTTCTCTTCAAAATAGTTAAAATTATTACATTTCACAAACACAGCCATAACATATACTCCTGGACTACAAAACGCCTACTCATATCTTTTGATTTGTCTAAGGAAAAACAGCTAAATTTAATGTTCAACCAGAATAACTTTGGTAGAATATAGACTTCATCTTCTTCCCCATGTTTCAGATTTTCTTTTATATATATTGCACATTTGAAAAAACCTATTTAGACATCATTCACTATAGTCTATCACACTGCTTTCTTTAGAGGGAGACAGGAGGCAAAGATGTTGATTAGATCCTTAAAGTGGGAACTCTAATAGAAACTTTTCTTGTACAAAGACATTTCAAGCACTGATGTTAACATTTTAAGTAATAGAACATTTTAAGACTTTTATAGGAAAACATAATACATAGATAATATAGATGTAACTAAAATACATCTATACATCTAAAACACATGTAAAGTATAAAGCAAATTTAGTCCACTAAAATTTCATGTCATTATGAACACATATTTAAATTTATCATTTTATATGTGTTATTCCTATTTGTTCACTGCATATCCGTATGTATAATGTTTCTTTTTCTCTCTGTTTTGCCTGCTTGGGTCCCTTATTTATTAGCCCATGTTGTTTAGTTTGGTAGTTACACCCTCTTTTTCAATTACTGGATAATTCAAGTCCAATATCAACTAATACCTTTATTCTCCTCTTGGATAACAAAAGTATCACAGATCACTTTATATTATGATGTATTTTAATTCTACAAGCCCTCACCATTATCTGCTTGAGTTCAATTTTGTACTTGACGTATTCTTTACTATGTCACAGCTAACGTCTTCTGACACCCTCTTTTTCATGTAAAGAGAAACATACTACAGTTTAGTTTAAGAATCATACTGTGTAGAGTCAGACAGATTTGGTCTGGACTCCTGTATCTGTCTATTCCTAGCTGTGTGACTTTGGTTAAGGCATTTACCCCTTTTTAGACTTTAGTGTTATTCCAAAAACTGGCACTTCATCAGGTAAATATAATGACAATATACCTAACTCAATGCTTGGCACAGAGCTGGCACTCAATGCAATAAGGTACAAGACTATACGGCTGTAGAAATGAGCAAATAAAGATTTATATCACCATGCTTTGAGAACTATAAAGCGTTATTTAAATAATAGTGATTCATTTATTCCACACCTAATAAACTATTACATACCCAAGAGGAGATATGTATGCTAAGTAATGGGATTTAAGAGTTAACAAGACTTTGCCCTTGTGCTTATGATGCTCACATAGTCTAGTCGATATCCTCATTATCAGATGAAATAAATGAAATACAGCGTTTGTCTTTCTTTTCACTCCAATTACTTTTCACCTTCAAGATTCTTGATCTATATTATACTTCTGACAACTTGGCTACAAAGATAACACCTATTATTTAGTATTCCTTTTTCTACGTTTTTATCTATTCAAGTGGTTTATTTCTCCCAAATACCCAATGAGATAAGTCACATTCCAATTTTACAACAGAAGAAACTGAGGTCAAGGACCATACCTTTAAAAACAACTTGCCCAAGGTCACATAGCCAGAAAAAAGCTGATCCAGGAGGTAAATTCAGTCTGGCTCCAAAGCCTACTCACTTAAATATCATGATATGCTGCCTTTATGTGTTATTAATCCCAAATTGGTGCATGGCTCTGACTGTTTTGTTTTTTACTTTTAAGTTTACTAGTCCAAGTGTGAGTTTGTTACATGGGTAAACTTGTGACATGAGGGTCTGTTGTACAGTTTATTTCGTCATGCAGATATTATGCCTAGTACCCACTAGTTATTTTTCCTGATCCTCTCCCCCTCCACCCACCCTGCAGCCTCTAAAAGGCCCCAGTGTGTGTTGTTCCCCTCTATGTGTCCATGTGTTCTCATTATTTAGCTCTCACTTAAAAAAAAGAACATGTAGTATTTGGTTTTCTGTTCCTGTGTTAGCTTGCTAAGGATAATGGCCTTAGGCTCCATCCATGTCCCTTTAACCACAAACAGGCTCTCAGGTTTTTAACTGCAGGTATTATTTATATGTAATACCTGGTGATTCCCCTAGGATAAAAAATGGTGATTCTACCCAAAAGAACTTGAATATTTAATGATTAACACACTCAAAATTAAGTATTCTTAAATACTCTTGGCAGTAACAGTATATATCCATCATTACACTGTTTCATCCTGAAAATGCCTGCTTCTAGGGAAGATTATTGAATTATCACATTCATATTATTTTGTAGAACATCATACTTTTTCAAACACTGAAACAAATTCAGTCACATTCCAATAAACTCATTGGTATACATGCCAGAAGACAGAAGGATAATTTAGGGTACAGTTAACAAATCCCTAGAGACAAATCTTAATTGTCAAAAATAAAAACCCAGAAAGGGTAGATGCATATCAATTTTTATATATCTCAAATGATCTCAAGAACCAGGAGGACCAAGGTTATTACTTGTATTGATTTATCCTAATAAATTAACAGAAAGAATATGCTAATTACACATTAAAAGAGATCATCATTCTTTCAGTCTTAGTCACACAGATACACCCAACCTATCTGAAAATTATGTTGAGTTCACGTAAGAGAAATAAACTGCAATTAATACTGTTATATAAAATTTCAACTGCTGTTCTGAAAAACAAAGCTGCAAGATTTTAATAAGAACAGTATTAAATAGCAAGAGATAGAATTTATTTTAAACATATGAAATAAACATATGAAGTAAATAAAGACACAGAAAGTTATTTGCATTCATTTTTATTCCTTGTAAAATAGTGATAAATTAAGGCTAACCTAGAAAGATATCTTAAATTTTTGTTAATAAAATTTTTTGCAACATTTTCTTTATATGCCTTTGTTAACCAAAGGAAATTATTTCTCCTCAAAAGTTTTAGGCCATACGGCATACAGAACCTCTGGTAACATCTTCCACACTGTAGTGGTAATTGGCTGATAAATGCAGGTTGCGATATAAAGTCAGATGTCATTATGCAAGTGCATATAAATGAAACAGCCATTTTCACATGTCTATGTTTTCAGTCATCTTCTTCATAAATAGATAAAATATAAGCACAATCCTAAGAAAATAACACAGTACATGAGTCTTCCTATTAGAGAGCAATCTACACATGGTATTCAAGATAAACAGTTAAGTTTATTTTAACTTCTCAAGGGTTACCAATTTGCGGATAATATATATATATATATATATATATATATATATATATATATATATATATTCCATATAATTATAGCTTTACAGCTTTGCATTAGTATTGTTCTGTTTCCTTCACATAGGATATGTACACAATTTATCTAAATGTTGTGGGAAAAAATTAAAATTACTGGCCCATAATTTAAACCAACTTGCCAAGTATTATGTCTATCAGTCCTTATTTGACTATTTCTCCTGAAATACAGGATTTCACTATCCCCTTAGTAGATAACCCAAGATGTGTGTTTAATCATCTTAAGCAGCAATTATTAGAATGCTTTCCTATGACCAAATAAGGAGTTTTTATGTTTTGGTTAATATATATATGAAAATCCTTAGCTGGGGCTGGAAGAGGACTCATGCTTTAATAGACTGACTTTGTTGAACATAAGTTAATTTTTGCTAACAGGAATTTGAATGTGATTACACAATTGTAATTAAAAATACTATATTATTAGGCATATCACCATTCACTGAATGAACTCGTGGAGTTACCAAAACTTATGGTTACTTTTTGTAACAATGGTGAAGTAAGTTTGTCTAGTTAGTTCAGTAGATAAAACTGAAAATGATCACATAGTGATGATAGCACATATGGCACACATCTTTATTCTATCTTTTTTTCAACAAAATACCTATATGAGAATTTTAAGTGAGAATCAAGCATAGCATCAATTCTAAAAAAAAAAAAGAAAAACGTAAAAAAAAATTTGAAATGCTTTCATAGACAAATTAGAAACTCTAAATTCTGAAGTGTAAAAATAGGGATTAGAGTTGTTGAGAAAATCTATGGCATGTTAATAAGTCACAAACAGTTGCTAAAATAAAATGTAAGTTATAACATATTGCAAATATAAAATTCAGGTTAAGAACTATTTAAAACTAAAAATGCATTTAACAATTTTAATAGAGATACACTGCATAAAAGGTATATATAAATTCAACATCTTAAATTAGTACCTTTGAAATACTCTAGGGAGTTCTTGCTGTCTGAAGAAATATTAATATAATAGGAAGGGTTGACTAGTCCTCTAACTAACCTACTTCATAAACAGTCATGTGTTACTTAACAGGAACACATTCAAATAAATACATGGTTAAGTGATTTTCATCATCAAGCAAACATCATAGAGTGTACTTACACAAACCTAGATCGTACAGTCTACTATACACTTATGCTATATGGTATAATTTATTGCTCCAAGGCTACAAACCTATACAGCATGTTACTACACTGAATACTGTAGGCAATTTTAACACATGGTAAGTATTTTTGTATCTAAACACATCTAAACATAGAAAAGTTACAGTAAAAAATATGGTATTATAATCTTATGGGATCACTGTCGTATATGTGGTCTGCTGTTAACTGAAACATCATTATGCAGTGCATGACTATAATTCCATTTTTTAAAATGTACTAAGTATCATTCATTAGTGCAGTTCAGATGAAAGTGACAGGAAACAATGAGTGAATCCTAAATAAACTGGGAATTATTAAAAGGCTTATTAATCCACTTTCCATTTATAATTGTCCTTAGCGTAAGAAACTATATTTACTAAAATTTACCTGTAATAAGAATTCTCCTTCTTGTAATTTCAGGCCTTCTCTGAAATTTGCTGCTCTACAGTTATCCTGGCCTTCATTTCTTTCAGTGGGGGAGGATTTTAATGCAACTATGGAAAAATAGGGAAAAACAATGATGAAGATGGATTTTAAAAGTAAGCAAGAGTAAAGAACTATAACAGAAAACTTCTGAACACTAAACAAAGATAATTTGAAATACTGGCATCTAGTGGTACTTTTAGTAATCGAGTAATACTAGGCAAATAATAAATACTAGGTAAGTAGTCCTGTTGCCAGGGGGTAGCTCCTTCTTCTATGCCATAACAAAATTGAAGGATTTAGTCAGCTGACAGATTGTTAAAAATAATTTTTGATGAGTTCACTATACGACTTTTGTCACAAAACTTAAGTTTCAAAGAAGAGCACAACACTGTTATAAACACTCCCCTCCATTTCTCTACAATGTAACTATAAAAATGATTTCAGTATTTATGTATATTTATCTAAATATCAGAAAACTGGTGGTGATGAGGAGAAAAAAAGCAACTATGTACTTTATTGAGAGATGTATTTCCGATGTTTGGAATCTTCTTACCCAGCATTTGGGTTAAAAACTGTTAATTAGAGTTATTATTCAATAGGTTAACATTAAATTTATAAATTAACTGATGGAGAATTAACATCTTCATAATGTTGAATCATTCTATTCAAGAACATACATGTTTTTCCATTTGTTCAAGTCTATATTTTGTCGAGCTAGAATGTTTTAAAGTTGTCTACAAAAAAGATGTGCACAAATATTTTTATATTTACTCGTGGGTATTACATCTTGCTATGTGGCTTCTCCATTACAGCTTCTAACTGCTTATGTGGATTATATAAGTTAAGGAAAATCTGAGGGCATGATGGAATGCTTACTATTGAAGGTAGAATGTTATAATGCTACCTCTTCACGTTTTTTTTTTTTCTCACTCTGTGTGTGTGTGTGTGTGTGTGTGTGTGTGTGTGTGTGTGTGTGTGTATTTATAGGCTGAGAGGAAGCACAGCTGAATAGAAATAATAATAGCTACCACTTACTTAAGCATCTTGCCAAGCACTTTAAAATATCATCTTACTTAAAAGTATGTGGATATTGGCAACTGATAGAATTGGGTTCAAATCTTACCTCTGACATTTAATAAAAGTGTGAGTTCTTTCAGCTTGTCTCCTAGTATGTGAGGTGGTAATTTAAAAACAAATTTTTTTTAAACCCATCTTGCAGGGCTGTTGTGAAGAGTGATGAGAATATATGTAAAGTTTCTGACACAAAGCAGATCAATAGCAGTTCAACATAACAGTAGCTTTAATTACTAGAAATATTTCTCAGAGTTTATGGATTACCTGGGTATAAAGTATAATCTTTAACATACTTTCTATTTTCTGACCTTTTTTTAACCTGTGATATTTGAATAAGAGAAACCATTAAATAAAACTGACTCTGGCAGTCCTCTTAAGACTTACTTTGCTATATTTTTATGTGCCAAAATAATCCAGCTCAGTGAAAAACCCAGAGATTTTCTAATAACTAGACTTTCTCTCAGTTTGAGCAGAGTACCACATATAAAACCATCTGCAGTCTTTCATGTTTGCAGTGTATTTTCTGATAAATCATCGGTGAATGTGTCACACCAGAATCTCATGCCAAGTTCTTGCCTTTGCAGAATCATACTTCTTTGCAACAAACAGCCAAAAGCATGGTCTCTGAATAAAACAACTTCGAAAGGCCAGAGAACAGATTTCCTTAGGCCAAAAAACAGTTTTTGAGGTAAACTGACCTAACAGTTCATCAAGACCAAAGGAAATGTTTAATCTGTACAGACAGAGAGAATGATAGAAGAGAGAATGGTGCTTTCTCCCTTTCTATTCTGTAAGTTATGTTGTTGCTTGCTTACTAACGGCCACATTTGCTTGAATGCACTGAAACCATACAATGTCAGAGTCAACTATATTCTGTTACTTTCCTAAAAACTTTGGTATGCATGGTGGCACGTGCCTGTAATCCCAGCTACTCAGGAGGCTGAGGCAAGAGAATTGCCTGAACCCAGGAGGCAGAGGTTGAGGTGAGCCGAGATCGCGCCACTGCACTCCAGCCTGGGTAACAAGAGTGAAACTCCATCTCCAAAAAAAAAAAAAAAAAGAGTGACACCAAGCATCAGTAAGACTTGCTTCTAAAAAGAAAACAACAAAACCAAACCCTTAAATTATGAAATCAGCCTAAAAATTAACAATAACAGTGTCAGATTCTCAGATCTTAAATATCTAAATTATCATGGAGAATCTCTTATAATTAATATTCAATCAATACAATTGGTATTAGTTCCACCTAGATTCACTGGCAGTAGAAAAACATGGAAAAATATTAAGAGATAACTACTTGATCACTGAGAAGATGACTATGCAATGAAAGAGACCATTCATCTCAGAGTAACCTATAATTTGTTCTTGGGCTTATACTGGGGTATTAGCCAATGTAATTAGACACTAGAGTCAGACCCTGTCTTTAAGTAGGGCATATACGCTATGGAAATAAAGAATTAGAAAACAATGTCAAAAAATACTAAGTACCAGAATAGGGTTTAATTAAAGTATTAGAGGAACTTGAAGTAGAGAAAAAAATAAAAAGAACAAATTCTTTCTAAACAACAATGCTTATAACTATAAATGTTGGAAGGATGATATTTAACACATATAACTACTGCTTAAATAGGAAAAGTAACAAGTTAATTTGGGGGAATGATCACTGGAGGTTTCTACCAAAAACAAATACGCAAATATTTCTGCTGTTTTTGTGTTCAAGGTTAATCATTGGTAAATAATTTAAGTAAATACTGTGCAAAGATGAGTCTGAGAAGGGTGGACTTTCAACATCATTTTAAAAACACTGCTGTGCCTTTTTAGGAAACTCGTTTTATGTCATGACCTCTCAGCCTAAACTATGTAATTTCTAATGCTGCATGAAGTTTTTCTTCTATTTCTTGCTATCATGTCTACTACCTCTGTTAATATTACTAGAAACTCTATCAATTTATACTACTCATTTTCGTGTATATGTTGCTTGCCCTGATTAGAAAGAGAGCAATGGGTAAGAAAGTGACATGAGACACTTTGACAAGAGCTGCTTCCCACCATCTAAGTAACCTTAGTAATCATGTGATATTGGGCATACACTGTTAAAACTAGCACTTTTCACGTATTAGATCCTACTTAGTCTTCACAGTATTTTTACAAGACTGACATTGTTCTTTCAATATGTTAGGAAACTGAGACTTAGGGTGTTTGAGAAAATGTTCCCAGGGTCATAGAGATTAAAGGGGTAGAGCTTAGGCAAAAATTCAGGTAGCCAGAACTCAGGGTGTGAGCTATTATTAACCACTGTCCACTATGCTACACACCTTTGACCTTTAATTTCCTCACCTTTAAATGAGGACAATACTACCTCTTGAGACAAATTTTCGTGAGGATGAAAATAACATGTAGAATACCTGGTTAATGCCTGGAATCAATCACTGACAATCAAGGACAGAAGTAACAAAGTCTATGCTGAGTTTATACACCCTCAAACCATGAGGAGAAACTTATAATCAAAGTGCCCTGAGGGGGTAATTGAGTATTTTATCATCTTTAATTTGAGGGCAGTAATCAGTATTTAATAGAACTACTATAATGATTATATGACGTATTTGAAATTATGTCTGATCCTTGAACATAGGTTTGAACTATGCACGTCAACTTACATGACTCTGCAACTCCCAAGACGGCAAGACCAACCCCTCCTCAGCCTACTCAAGATGAAGACAGCAAGGATGAAGAGCTGTATGACGATCTATGTCACTTAATGAATAGTAAATATTCTTTGTCTTCCTTATGATTTTCTTAATAACATTTTCTTTTCTCTAGTCTACCTTGTAGTAAAAATACAGCATATGATACATACACAAAATACACATTAATTGGCTGTTTGTGTTATTATTGCATTAATCAAGGATAAACTATACTTTAAAACTATAAACAGTTACATAAATTATATGCATAATGACACTTTAAACGTTACACCACTGGAATTAAATTTACCACAGTCCACAGAAACAAAATGTAATATCTGAAAATAAATAAGATGGGAAGCATCTGCTATACCGTAATGGGCATTTGTTAAAATCTTCCCTGTCGGTGGGGATATTCTCATACTTTCCAAAGTGTGAGATTCAGACTCTGAACATACAGTAAAATGTTAAGATAGTAAACTACCAAAATATTTCACTATTTCCTCATTGAAAGACCTATGAAGCAGTCATATAATAAAAGTAAGAATTTAACAAATTATGAATTTAGAATGCAAATATATCACAGTAATATCAAATAGTCATACCGCAGATGACTCAAGTGTTATTCCCACACGCATTTAACCATATCCATGTTTCATAATATGGTACTTTCCTTCCTTATACATGTAAGTTCAGATTTCCAGTTCTCCCTAAAAGCAGATTTCTTCACATCACATGCTTTGAATTGGCCAAAAGAAAAAAAAAAAACCATGAGGGATACGGAATAGTGGTAAACTATATTTTATATTTGTTACCATAGTTTGCATTTAAACAGAAAGATGACATGATAAAAATCTTGCCAGGGAAAAGTATATCCCTTTTTCGTCCCTAATTGTTGCTATAAATTCAATTTATTTCATAATATTTACCATCCCCTTTACTACTTTGGCAGGGAAAATTCAATTCCATTCCCATATTGACATAAACATAAAGGACAGTAAAGCTATGACTTATAAAATTCAAGCAACCACATAAACTTTTATAAATTAGAAAGGGTTAAGTAATGCGGTATTTCTTTAATTTAAGAAAAACATTCCCAGTTTAGTTTAGTCTGTTATGATGGGTATTTCCAAATAATATATTAGTGTACACAAAAGGAGCTTCTTCTACATGCCTACTGGTAAAACATACATGTTTCACTCTAACACAGTATTTGCTTTTGTAAAAGAAATGTTCTTTTGAGGGAAGGAGGGAAACAACTAAAGAAGCCTATGTTATATTCTAAATTCCTGGGAAACAGAGATTAGGTC